TATATATAGAGAGAGAGAGAGAGAGAGAGAGAGAGAGAGAGAGAGAGAGAGAGTACAACTGGACATGAAGATATATGGAATTGTCACAAAGAAAAACAACTGAGAGGTACATGAATTGCCTGCATAGTGTCCACACAGCTGTGAATGTGCCAATCAAGAGGAAGCAATCAAGAAAAAGTTGCAGCAACCCTCATCCACTACTCTGTCTCTTTCTGCTTCTATTCTAATGTCTATCGAAATTCAAGTACAGGTGGTCCACTTACTTCAAAGTTAAAACATACTTGAGAAGGTGAAAATATAATAGGGACTACCACCTGTTTTTTCCCCACACCAGAGAGATTGAAAGTGAGAGATGAATTAAAAGGTTAGTATGATAAGGTCTTTTGAAAAAGTTAACGAGTTGTGGCTGTGCTTATGCAAGCGGTGTGTTTAGGTTAAGTGTCATGTGCAATGGGCCCTGGGTGTAAGAAAAGAGGTGTACTAGGCTGACTACTACACATAAAAAGCAAAAGTATGGTTTTTATCCTTTAAAACCCACCCATTAATTTGAAAATTTGAAGAAGAATTCCACTATTTAAATGTTCATGAATTTGGTGTGCAGTATATTAGAGTATTGATCCAGCTGTTCACTTGAATTTGGATGAGAGATGGTATGATTCATGTGAAGATTGAAAGAGATACTTTGGTAAGCATAGCCGTAATAAATGATTTCTTACAATTTCCAATATAAGAAACACTAATCCCTTTTTCAATATGGGACCATATCATCTATGCGATCGTGTCTACAACACAAATTCCAGATGCATGTACAATGTCTTCCCATCCGAACTATCCTCAAAGGATAAGAAATGTTGGCATTGATTCAACCAATAGGTTCCAAAGTGTAGTGGTTTTATTTTTATGGTGAATGCAATCAACAGAATGAGTGTTTGCACTACTTAATCAATGGGAATGGATTGTTTCCACTACTTAATCGATATCATCATGGTCTCCACAGCGGAAAAAAGTGGAAATTAGTGTTTGCCAAAACTGACAACGATCTCATGTCATATGTGAAACTTTTTTTTTTTTCCTTTCATTGCTCTTTTCTCTCCTATGAAAATTACACTTATGATACCAACATAACATAGGGCAACAGTAGAGACTTTAACACTAACTTCACAAAATCAAATATTCTGGTCCTTCCTATGAGATAGGAAATGAGCGGTTTTGAGTTGAACTCTAGAATCCTTGTGCCACACACACAATGTGTCAAAATGCATTTCATTATAGAACTGTCAAGTCTACAAATCAAAAGGAGGGCAAAAAAAAGGACAATGGTAAACTCGAGAAACGGAGTATGAACAGTGTTGTCCAGGACAAAAAAGACCTAATGACTGCTCTTTACAACATTATGGACACCCAATTTTTCCAAGATATAAAAAGGAGACAACTATTGTGTCTGTTTTAACGGTTTCTGTGCACTAGGATCAAGTAGTATCAAGCTTAAAGGCATCCCTGAACTCGATGCCTACACTGTTTTGTAATCCCTTCTGGCCAAAACCAGTACTACCTTGCATCATAGCGACAAACTCATTGTAATCAATGCGCCCATCCTGAAAAAGCAGAAAGTGGGCCACAGAAAAACTTAAGATTAATTATTCTTCCAAACTTGATATTTCTAATATATATGGAATTTGGACACTTACATTATCCTGATCAACTTCACGGATAAGGTCTTCTATTTGAACATCTTCCAAACCAAACTTCTCACAGGCATGTTGCAGCTCATCTGCGGTGATGCAACCACTACCATCTTTGTCGAAATATGAGAAAGCTGCGTACATGTGATCCTCTCTCTGGACTTTGTTTAGATGGAGCATTGCAGCTACGAACTCACCGTAGTCTATAGTACCACTGTTGTCAATATCTGCCTGCAATGTGCGGAGCAGAACATCAACAAAGTAGATGCAGGGAGGATCAAAGGTTCACAAAATAAGGAGATGATAAATGCAAACGTAGTGGAGGCACCAAAAAAAGCCTAAGAGTCAAGGCAGCATTAGGCTAGGCAATGTAGCACCACTAAACTAATGTTTCATGGCCCCACTAAACATATGCCCAGATTCTGTGTGAGATTAAGATGGTATTAACCACAAACTATGTTTATATACTGCTACAGCAAAATCATTACTTATTGCACTCAAAATCATGGCTGCCAAATGGCAAGTAAAGTTCTAAGACTATTCAGCCTGCAGAATAAAATCCTAAATGCCTTTTCTCACCCTAGCTGCGTTGACAAAATATATTAGTAGGACAAAGATAAGCCAAATTTTGATCACATTATGCCCAATCTTGAACTAGTGCTTCCTTTTATTTTACAATCTTGTTCTGCTTGTAGTAGTTGTTGGCCAAGGAACACTTATTGATATCATATTTCTGGTCATAAATTATCTACACTCTACCATTACCTGAGTATGAGCATGAATTAATAAAATGACCACCACAATAGACCCTGTCAATATATCTTGATTCTTGAATGAAGTAACATGGAACTTCAACACTTCACCTTGGAGGGGAATGGCAGCCATTAACATCCCATTGACTTAAAATGCCCTTGCCACATGTCTGTTTGAAGAAAGCTAAGACATTAAGGCACCCATTAAGAGTTCGACTGTGTACATAACTAATAAAGTGCCTCTCTTTGTGTGTGTTGCTATTACTCTTGGACGTTGTGACACTGATGTAATGACATTGGCATTTCCACGGTGATTCATTATATCAATCAATCGATGCTTGCTGCTGGGTTATGCACCCCACAATGCAATCTTGTATTGCCCCATCTTGTTGTCATCCTTAACCTTATTTAGTGCTTCAATTTTGAGAAAATGCGGTCTTTCAACATGGAAGCCTAACTAGCACAACCATCTCTAAAACAGAAATGGCAAACATCCGACACCAAACAGACATAATCCCGCGAGGACAACTGCTGGACAAGACTCAAGCATGTGTGTATTTCTGATGTTAAAATTTTATGTTTACAGGATTTTTGAATCTGTTACATGTAGTAGAATAAAAGAATCTGTTAAATAAGCAACATATAACAACTTTGGACCATTCAAAGACACTAGAAAAGTAAGGACTATGCTGTTTAGAACCAACCATTATGGCACATCTATGTCACATCAGATCTGTGTTCTGTCCATATGTCCGTGATACATAGCTTTGGAAACTTCAATTTTTAGTAAGAATATTTTTTGGTAACAAATTAGACACTTTCTGATTCAAATTTTTACATCTTGCAGAAAGTTATCACCAAGACATTCTTCATAGTTCTTACGTATTCCAGAATTGTAATACAGAATCAAACAACGATTTTTATGTTAGATACTTCGAACATGTGTTTTGATTCTAATTATGTTCCACAATGAGTTCACTAATATTATGATGTTAGAATGACAGTTGTTTATTTTTCTTTCTAGATTAAATGCCTCTTGTTCTCCAAAAACCAACAGAGCAGTATGCCCAACTTCTCACCCACTCTCACCACATGCTTTCAAGTATTGCATGTTCAAAAGCTGAACTATCCTAAGCCTCAGAAACTTAATCTTTCTTGAACTAAAATGCTTGAATTTGGGCTCGAGCTTAGTTTTGAAGCCACTCTTTCAGCAGTTCTTTGGCTCACGGAGTCCTATACCAGCTGTCCACTTTGTTACACTTACAACTAGTAAAAACCCAAAAAGTATGCACAGAAGGGAGAGTCCCTAGTTCAAGACACAAATGTCTGGCATGAACATATAATCTTTAACTGGTTCGACATAGTACTAGCTATATCCAGATCCATGTGATGAAGAAAGATCTTAACGTATAATTAAATTTGCACTCACTGCTTGCATTAAACCATTGATTTCTGAATCTTTAAGATTGGCACCAACTCTTTCCAATCCGTTTTTCAGTTCCTCAAGCGTTATTTGCCCACTATTATCTGTGTCTATCATCTTAAACATTTCTTTGAGTCCTGCAATTTCCTCTTCAGAGAGAATCTCTGCAATGACCTGCCAAGATTAATCAAAGGTGATTGTCATAACCCTGATACGAATGTAATGACTACAAAATTTTTTTAATATATTAATCGCAAAAATATTAAATTTATTTTGATTTCTAGAACTGTAAAATTATAAGAAAAAAAAAAGTAACAATGTAAATCAACAGAAGTGCTAGAACTGATCCTGAATAGACATGCAAATTAGAATATAAAAAACCGTCTTACTTTCTCTGTGAAGCATTCTTATTTCTAATATGACCATGAAAATGTAACAATAGTCCAACACATATTTCAAGTGAATTTTCGATAAATGCCAAGCCACTGACAATATGAAATACACCAACTCTGACGGATCAAAAGTGCTTACTCTGATGGCTATCTTCTTGAGTTTGTCCATGGCAGAGAATTGCTTCAAACGAGTCAGAACAGCAGAATCAAGAGGCTTATCAGGAGCTACACCATCAACCTGGACCCAAGGGTGGCCTGTAAAAGAACAAAATAAATTGTTCATAGGTTTTATGGCTTCAACAGATGAAATGCTGAACAAAAAATATCCTTACTGAAAGGATGTGCTTGGAAGTGCATCTCAAGTGTTTTTCTATAGTTCTAGCCCAAGCATCAATTTGCTTATTATTAAAAGTGATCACAATTTGAGTAAAAGGATTACAGTGTTGCTTTTAAAATCTAAACAAATTATAAGAAGCATTTGCAATCAAAAAACTAGCACCTTTAACTATCATTGCCACAGAGATCAAAAATACAAAAACTATCATTGCCGCCCATACGAACAACAAATATTGTTTCTTCAGAAAGTTGGAGCCTAGGCAAGCAAAGCAACATTGATATCTTATGTAGTACACGTCATCTGATTTGGTTTCTAGACATGTAGACATACAAGAGCAGCTCACGTAACCTTTTTTTTCCTTGGAAGGTGGATACTATTGATTCTTCTGCTTGGTTTTTTTTTTGTGTGTGTGTGGGGGGGGGGGGG